TCCCTCGGTCGAACACGAAGGTTGAATGCCTCACTCCCATAGTATTACCCCCTTGAAAGTCATGGAAACACATATATGCAGCATTCACACACATAATTTTGAAGTCACCGTGGGAACCAAAACACAACATCTGTTTGCAAGGTCGCAACAAATTCACGTAGGAGAAAAGCTCGGGCCTGCACAATAGAATAACTACCAATAACCAATTGAACACCAAATTCTTCCAACAGATGAATTTTGATGCCCGAAACATGATTGAATTCCTCTGGGCCCGAAAGCTCCTTATCGAAAATCGGCAGACCGTCGTAGAGACTGTCCACTTCACCGGTAAGACGCTCCTTCACCTCCTTGGGTTCTTCATCAAACACCGGTGGACCATCGTACAATGGCCCGTCAACTTGCTCTTCATCGAATTCTGGGATGTCAACGCGAAACGGGCCCTCCCATTGACCATATTCGCGAACAAATCCCCAATCGTGTCGGGCATACTATCCATCAGCGAAGGCTGCCTCCTCGCGCCAACCCCTATCGCTGCGTTGATCGTCGCCGTCCACGAAGACCGCGCCCCATCGCCGCATGTCACGGCCGCCATATGCAGCGAAGGGGTCAGCCTCGACGTGCGGAGATTTCCACTCACCGAAGGGATTCACCTCCGAGATGGTATCCTCGCAGTCTTCGTCGCCGGACGGTGGTTGTGGAGATCTCCGGCGGGGCGCCCCGCCTAGACCACGGCCTCCACGTCCTCCGTGAACTCCCCCGCGAATGTCCCGGTTGCCGGTGTCATGGTTCGTCTGCAAATCCTCAACCAAGTTGTTGATCGTAAGACACACTTCTTTGATTTCCGTCGAAAGATCCTCAACCCGACGATCCAATTGATTGATCTGGGGGCCGAAGCCCGTGGCTTGTCGACCCGGATACTCAATGGTGGCATCATGCCCGTCGATGTCGTCCTTCTGCGGCAGCATCTTGAATCGTGCTGACTTCTGATACCAACTGATGTAGGGGAAGCAGGGGAAGCGTACGAGTGTGACGATATTAATGAGATCTCAATCTCAAAAACATCAAAACATGATATAATTCATACATTATTCATAAACCAAGGAAAATAAACTAGAGGAAATCCTTTATATAAGGCCCCTAACCCTAAACATTAACTTGTCCACCAAGCCATTAAATATTAGGGGTCGCAGTGATTAAAATAGCGCGCGGCGAGTCGAGGCGACAAGGCTCCGATTTGCCATGGCGTGAGGCGTGCGGCGAGGCGCCCGCCTTATGAAAGCGGGGCGAACTATTATACAAAAAAGAGAAATATATGTACACTTGATATTATACAAAATT